GCGGGAGGCGTTGGAGCCTGGGGGAGCCCGGGGAAGCCCCTGCCCTCGCTGACCTCCCGGCAGCTTCTTGACCACGGAGGGCTCTGCTTTCCTCGCCCCTCTGCCCTTCCCTGGGGGAGCGATTGGTCGCTACACGCACGGGGAGCTGCGCGCAGCCCGCGGGCCCCCGGCCGCTTCCCTTCTCCCCACTTTCCCGGGCAGTCGTACAAAGAAGCGCCTGGCAGAGATGCTTGTTTATCGTGTTCCTTGACGGTGTATTAGGGTGCTGAGTGGAAGCAAAACCGCTTCAATCCAGCAATACAAAGAGAGCCTGTATATAGCCAAAGGCAAAAATGTGCAAAGGGCAGAGCAGCACAACAAAAAGATGTGTAGTTGCAGAGATGTTCATTGTTTAAAGCCAAGGCAAATGCTTCTGCAGGTCAGTTCTTCACCAGAGCTAACTAGATTAAAGTTAAAATTTCACGTTGTGTGAGTGACCCACCTCCTCCCTCCTGTCAGCCTGGCAGGAGAAGCAGGACTGGCCTTTATGGTCTGGCTGGTGTCCTGCTGCCATTTAGTGTGGTCCAAGTTGGATCATGTGGAATAAGGTGCGTGAAGGGCTCATGTGGACATGTAAAGAATAACTTTCCCCAAAACTTTTTTCCTAACCTCTTTGTGGAGGAGTGGGTCTTTGCCTTGAAGGGGTTTCATTAAAGAAAATGCTCGGTGTCTGACAAGAAGATACTCAGCATCCCATGTACTGAGACAGTTATTTTCTCTCTCGTTTTCAGCTATAAATAGGCCCTAGCTTTTAAAGTATGGAGCTGTCCTGATTTTCATCTGGTCCAGCCTCATTTTGAAGAAGAATATCTATTTTAATATCTGGTTCAGGTCCTAAGTACTATCTGTATATTATGAAACTATACAGTGAAAATATTCACAGGAAAGTTGGGCCAAATCATGCAATCCTTAAACTGGCAAGACTTGTGTAAGGCTGCATGCTTGGCCCCTCCTGAAGGACTTAATAGCATGGCACATAAAACTTGGCTTTTGAATATTTCAAATGAAGAAGTCTCTATTCTGATGTCAAGTATGTGGATACTCTCTGCCAAGTACCTTGAATCCATCTTCTGCACTTACAATAGGATTTCACAGTGCTTTTTTGTTCTTTTGACACACTAAACAGCATGCACCCAAATATCTGAAGTGAGGACAGCAATTAAAGTCTACATTTATACTGATGTGAAAGATGCCAGAGTTACTAACCTAGCTATAGAATGGTATAATACACACCTAACATAAGATTTAACCTCAGTTAAAATTGCTTGGTAATATGTACCAGGTAATATGATAGTTTGGTAAAAGCTTTACAGAAAGAGCCTTAGTAAGAAATCTGTAAGTATTGCATGTCCAGATATAATGGGAAAGTTTAAATTGTTTCAATGGATCGACTGTATCTGAGATACTAGGATATACCAGATAAACAGCATGCTACCACTTTTAATTACCCCCCAAAAAATTCCATAATTACAAAATATTTCCTGCCAGTAATTTTTATTTGTGCATATGTAGAGAATAATTTAAGATGCCCAGGCCCCAAAACAGGGTTATCAAAACAATAAGACTATGGTGTTTGTAGTTTTGAATAATATATAAGGTAATGATCAATAGTCCCTTACAGGGAATACATTTCATCTTTACATTAGCTTGGCTATAAATTTTCACTATTGGCTTCAACTTGTGTTAGATTTATGTGATTCATGCCTGTTATTGATTAGTGCACAACTATTTTGTGGGAGATGCCAAATTAATTGTTTAAAAAAATCCATGAAAGTGCTTTTTTATTGGCCACGTGAGACTGGACACATAGTATATTGTTGTTTTATTATTCCATTTAAATATAGTTTCCAGTAAGCTTTAAAAATAGTTACATGAACATTTACAAAATATATTGAAAATGCTACTCTCTGCTTTATATTGTGGCTCAGAAAGTAGTGTAATGCAGCAATGTGCTTCTGAATGTTGCTGGACAACTCCTGTGAAATCACTGCAGTCTTACATGAGCATTCCCAAATAGGAAGAAATTTCCATTTTTTCCACAAGACTTCTACGTTTATGCAGGGTTTGGCTGATAGTATCCCCATTGGAAAGGTAAGCAATTTGCAGGGAAGGCTGCCAAAAAATCCCCAAACCCTCAGAACCAGATGAGCTGCTATTTGATACAGATACTTGCTCTGCTTTGCACATTGATGCTGAACCTAGGAGCTTTACTGAAGCAGTGCCCCCTTCTCTGCAAAATGTTCTCATCTCTAATGCACAGAAGTCTGTGTGAGGTTGCTGTTATGTGCATGGTAAGACTTAATCATTTATACACTGCTACTTAGGTTTAGAATATTTTAATTTTTGAATTTAAGATGAGTAAAAGATAATACACCAGACAGAATGGTTACTATCTAGGCAGAAATGTGTGAGACTGGACTATACTAAGGATTTTCATTTGTCAAGCCTCTAGAAGATCATACAGTGAGTAAGCCTTTCCCCACATTCCCAATTCACTGATGCCTGCAATGAGATCTTTTGGTTCCATGTGTAATATTTTTATGTCACAATTCTGATTCAAATGTATGTTTTCAGAATTTATTTTGCAAGACAAATTTCATAGGCTCTTTCATACTGCTAATTTTGGCAGTCTAAAAACTTGGGGTTATTTTCTTTGAAATATTTTATTTGTTGTGCAAATCAGAATATGACTGAGCTTTAGATCCGTGTTTATAAATGATGAGAAAGATTGAGAGTAATCTTTTAATTTGGTACATTAAAGCTGTCTGCAATGCATCATTCTAGCAGAGACTCAAGGGGCTTCTTCACTGTTCGAGTATCATACTTTAAGATTTATTCATCTGTTCCTTGTCTTTGTCCAAACAACTCTGGGAATGGGAAAACACCTTTGAAAATAGCTGCTTGTCACTCAGGGATCAGCCACATCTGGAAAAAAAAAAGTATCTTTCAATGGAAAAATATGTACATTGCTTGTTTTTTTCCCTTGCGTTTTGTAGGTATACTGGAATTTATCAGTATAGCAGTGGGCTTGGTCAGCATCCGAGGAGTCGACAGTGGACTCTACCTTGGAATGAATGAGAAAGGGGAACTGTACGGCTCGGTAAGTTCCCGCTAGCCTCGGGCAGTCATGATCCTTACATTCTGTGGGAAAAAAACTTGCTAACTCCTACAAGCTCCCATTGCACTAGGTGCTGTACAAGCACTTTTTACTGCTCTAAATATCTTGCAATCTAATTCGAAACAATGCCCTGTGGGTGGTATAATGAATACGGGAGAGGAAAAAGGTGACAAAATCAAGAATGAGCGATAACGCAAATGGATATGAATTTAGACACAAGCAATGGAGACTGATGGCCAGAGCTGGTCACTGAGGACTGAAGGATGTACTGTAATATTTGTAAACGTGTCCTTTCAGTAGAGACCTAAAACAAGACAAAGTTACAGCCTTCTGTGCTTAGGCAGAGAGCTTTCTAGGAATTGACAAAAGAAAGTAGAGGGGAAGGTAAAAGGTGGCATATGTGGATGAGAAAATGAGAAAAAGCTGTGGATAAAAGATATAAAAAAGTATAGGAATGAGAGCATGAGGCTTGGTGATCTTGCCCTGAAAGTTCGGCTGGTGCTTACTCCCTGAAGGTTGGCAGCAGGAATGAGTAACAGGTTTGAGGGAGGAGTAAAACTTGATCTTTCAGATGTGGGAGTTAGGCTGGCAAACCAGCCTACATGTGTGTGTGCACACATGCACACACGCATGTGCAACATGACTCTTACCTGCGAATACTTGAGACTTCTGATGTACGCTGGGGTTCACACCCTGGGTAGATCGTGGGCAGGGGGAATCTGAAATCAGTGAGGTAATTCCCCAAATAGTAGAAAGCAACCTCTTCTAGCAGTAAAGTATCAACTTCCAAAGGTGACAAGGACTAGAGAAGAGTTGTATTTGAGGAAGAGGATGGCAGGTTTGAAGGGTAAACAAATGTCTAATGTGAAGAGAGGCTGTGGGGTCCATTAGAAGCACAGAGGAGAAGGTGTCAATGCTCGACTGATGGTGTAAACATTGCAAAGAGAGACACTCAAAAAGGAGTTGAAGTGATGGTAGCTTCAGGTGTATCTGAAAATATCTGTGTCAGAGGGGAGTAATGGTAACTGAGGAAAAGATGGGTAGATAACTAAGTGGGACATCAATGAGAGTGGGAGGAAACATCAGAAGATGGTGATGAGTGGGCAGTTGAAAACAGAAGGAGCACGAGGGACGTCCAGCTTCCATATACATGATCCATGGAGCAGTGTGAGGAAGCGAGACCAGGAAGGTCCAGCAGAAGCGTTTTTATAGGGGTGTCCAAGTTCACTGATCTCTTTCTAGTAACATTTTGTGTGAGAGAGGGAAGGTAGAGAGGGGAAGAGGACTGTCTTCCGAGCAAAGAGCAGGCTAGGGGAGAAATCTAGAAGGTACAGATCATGACAGTGTATGTGGGAAGCAGAAAAAGAGGTGGTAGAATGAGGGGCAAGGCTGGGATGAAGAATGCGTAGACATGGGAGAAGGGGAGATGCAGAGGTGGTGAGAACCAGTGAGTGGGAAAGGCCAAAGAAAAGGGATTTGGCATAAATGGCAATATGGAGGAGGACAAGGTTGGGAGGATGGAGAGGAAGAGTGAAAGGGAATGGATGCTATGACAGATGTAAACAACTTGCCTGTGGGGAGTAAATTGTCCTAAGTTACAGTCCTTGTCTAGCTGATGAATGGGATGAGGAACTGGAGAAGTCATGCGTGTTTTATGGTTCAGTTAGGCAGCAAAAAGGCAGAACAACAACAGTAATATGAATCAGTAATGTTGATAATCATCAGTAAGAGTAATCGTTTAAACAGTGAATCAGTTACTCTACACTTCAGATATTCAGAAAAAGAAAATGTGGTTATCGATAGAACTTAAATGCATAAACTTGGGAAAGCAAATGTTACATCACTTTTCCATGCAATTTATGTTTTGTGTTTTCAATATGTTTGACTGTCAGAGCAAATTACACAAAACATTCTTTGCTGAAGAAATATGAACAAGAAATTCTTTGTAAATTGCTAAGCTCACTGTGTTAATAAAATAGTTTCTCTGTGAACAGCAGTTATAAAAGGAGCCTGTTTTCCTAGGGGTTTGTGTCTCACAGTTCAAGACATGGGTCTTCCTGACCTTCTGTCCCTGCAGTAACACAAATTCCCCAGCCTTTTGTGTTTCTTGCATAGAGAAAGAGACAGTGTTAGCTGTCCAGGAGAAAGAGACAACATTAGCTGTCCATGCTCACCAGACTGTCAGTTTGCAGGGATTACATAGCTCACCACTCCCAAGTGGGACGTGCAAATGATTTCTCTTCTTTACTCTGCCTCTGATTAGTTGCAAAGCTGATAGGAACTTAATTTTCTTGAAGACCTTTGCCTCCTGATTGAAACTGGTTGAAAAGCTGAGGAAGGACAGACAGGCAGGCAGATGGATGTACAATATAATTGGATAACCTCTTTTCCCTAAGAAATGACGCTAAAAATATGAAGCCATTCATAATGGAGAACTGGCAATCTATAGGGCCAGAATTCAAAGTTCAGGTTAAAATCTGATGGATGATATGGCTTATTGTCAGCCTCCAGAGATGGGACATAATAAAGAGTGATGATAATTGAATTACATTACTTCCAATGAAATATAACCTCTAATGGCTACTCAGCGTGATGATGCTTTAAAGCCTTGTCAACACTAGCAATCCTAGTGCCTATATTTCAGCAACTGTCAGCTCTCATAGAAACACTGAGATAAGCAGGCCTCAGAGCAGATTTTCATGTAGAATTGGCTGGACATTTTTAAGTGACAGTGTTTTGCTTTTGGTCAAAAAAATGCAGTTAATTGAAAAAGTTCTCCAATGGAGTAAGTGTTGCAGTTTGAACCAGAAGCTGGGCACAGTCCAGCACAGGATTATTTTTCTGGAGAGAGAGGAGATCATTTTAACTGAAATTAGTTTTGATACTGATACATGATAGGCTAAGGTTCAAGTTTTTTACCTGAATTGAGCAGAGCAGTCACTTGAACTGTTCTGTAGCATCAGCAAGTTGTCCTTGTGCTGGAAGGCGGGTCCCTCTGTCTTGGTTTCTTCACCAAGGACCATGAAAAGCATCAGCTTTGTCATGGATCAGGTACACTTACAAGGTTGTGAATGTGTTTTCTAAGGTGGGAAAACTGTTTCCCATGCACAACTGAATAACAGCCTAAGAAATACCTGATCCTGCTCTACATCAGCATTGTGGATCTAAGCAGGTGTGTTTCTGCAGGCAGTCAGTACCGCAGCACTTGAAACTGCCAGAATAGATGTCCTGTGTCTATGACACTATCATATTTATATTCAAATTACTGTATGAAAAATATATTGGGTGTGAATCAAATCAGCGACCTAAAAGACTCTTCTCCTTCTATATTTGTGTTTGAAACATTTGGCACAGGAAAATTTTTCCCAGCATATTTGTGGTGCCACTGGAGATCAGACATATGGTGAAGCAGAGCAGCCAGAATGGGTGATTGCTGCCAATTTTTGTGAAAGGCAACAGTAAAGGCAGTTTCAGCATATCTTGATCCAGACATGTTACTCTTGGCCTTCTCAAAGTGCTTCTTTCCTCCTAGATTAGCTGCCTGACAAACTTCCCAACTTGCCACTGTTACAGGGGGGAAATTCTGCTGCATCTTCTGCTTAAAAGAGCACAGTGACTCTCATGCTGCTCTCAGGCAGAAACATACAACATAAGGTGGTTGTTCTCAAATTCCCAGAGATTTAGCCAGGGAAAGCTGAAGATACATGTATGTGGTACTGCAGAGAAGCCAGTGGTAGCTACATAGCTATATAGCTATAGACTTGGAGGCTGGTTGGTGTGAGCAGCTTTCCCTCCTATCTCCCTCTGTTCCTGCTTTCCCTTTACCTTGCCTTCCCCTTGCAGCTGCAGCTATGACTCATCATGTTTCACAACACCTACTGTGCTTGTCACTGGAGAGGAGGAAAAATCCAAACTACAGATAGGACCCAACGGGTGTTAAGATGAGACACAAAGACCTTTCTGAGGTCTTTACAGAGAGCCAAACGGCTCTTGCCAACACCTCTGACAAGAGTGTTAGCAAATTGGTCTTAGCTTTGCTCCTCAGTGCCATGCCATGGGGTGAGGGAGGTCTTTCTGTTCAGTCCCACGACCTTCATGGGCTCTCCCCACCCTCGTGCTGCCCTGCACCACTGCCCTTGGGAATATCAACAGTTGTGCACCTGTATGGCAGGCAGTGATGTCACCCGTAGCACAGGGAGCCCATTGGTTGTATTGCAGGCTGTCCTCTGAGGGAGTCCTGTGCTACCTCTAGCACAGCAGGACAATGGGACACCCTCACCTCAGCTTCCCTCACTGTCCTGGGCTCTCCTGCAGTAGAGAGCTATGCTACATCCCACTGCTGCCATCTCTGCCCCACCGATCTCCCATAGATGTGGACTTGCCCCACTACTCAGACTAGATATAAGGAAGAAATTTTTTCTGATGAGGGTGGTGAAACTCTGGGCAGGTTGCCTAGAGAGGCTGTAGATACCCCCTCCCTGGCAGTGTTCAAGGCCAGATTGGACGGGGCTTTGAGCAACCTGGTCTAGTGGAAGATGTCCCTGCTTGTTGCAGATGGGTTTGAATAGATGATCTTTAAAGATCACTTCCAGCCCAGGCCATTCTATGATTCTGTGAAATGCTGGTGTCTGTGTTGCTTCTTGTGTTCTTGGCAGGTGACAAAAAGCTGCTCAGGTTGGACGCTCAAGAGAAAAATTGGGAGTTGGAAGATCTGAAGCAGCTACAGGGGGAGCTGTGAGGGGGGGAGGAAGGTGGGAGGGGAGACAGTGCAGTTGTTGGGGAAGGGGGAGAGGGCTAGGAGTGTTTGGAAGGGAGGATAGAGAGAAAGGCTTCATGTGCTGACAGAGTCAAAGAGCCCAGATGTACAGCCAGGGAGAGAGGCTCCTCACTTTCAGACTTAGAGGGTGTGTGCAGCAAAGTCAGATTTAGGACTGCTTGTAACAGGGCAATCAATTGCTGTCCTTCAAAAATTAACTGAAAAC